TGAAGCCCACACGCCTAGAGCCCATGCTCCACTAGAGAAGTCAGCTCAATGAGAAGCCCACGCATAGCAGTGAAGACCCCACGCAACCAAAAATAAATAAACAAACAAACAAATAAATTTAAGAGAAAACACTGTCCGAGCAAAGTTCAAGTATACAAAACGGTGTTCTTAACTATAGTCACCATAGTGTACATTAGATCCGCACATTTTATAACTGAAACTTTGTACCTTTGACCGATATCTCCCCACTCCCACCCCTCCCACCCCCAGATTCTGTCAACCACTGTTCTACTCTCTGCTTCTTTGAGTTTAACCTTTATAAGATTCTACATGTAAGTGAGATCATACTGTATTTACCTTTTTGTGTCTGACTTATGTAGCATAATGTCCTTCAGGTTCATCCATGTTGTTGCAAATGGCAAGATGTCCTTCCTTTTTATGGCTGAGTAATCTCCCATTGTATGTACACACCACATCTTCTCTATCCATTTATCTGCCAGTGGACACTTCGGTTGTTTCCACATCTTGGCTATTGTGAATAACACTGCAGTGAATATGGGAGTGCAGTTATCTCTTTGAGATTCTGATTTCATTCACTTTGGAGGTATTATTCTTAAAATGCTAGTAGAATTACCAGATTTTAAACATTCAACAACTGAGTTCTGTTTTTCTAAACAGGATGGAATAGAACAGGTTTTCAATTAAGGCCTATGTGGCCACTGCAGAACTGGAGAGTAATTGGCTGTTGCTTCCTCTCTGGGGCCTGTCAACCCAAGAGTAATGACTTTTGGCCATTTCAGACCTGAAGTAATTTCAAGCCGGCAGAAGTTTCCATTTTTTTCTCTTTATCCAATCTATTCTCCGTGTTCAGTTATTCCTGTGGTTCAATTACTCCGAGATCTCTAGGGAGAGAGAAAGGGATTTAAGAAGGAAAAGAACACAGCTCCACATTTTGTATGGCATACAATATATAGGAGATATGCTACCTCTGCTCACAACAGACAGAGTAGCCGCTGCAAATATTGATAATGCTGTGATAAAGACAAAGATGCCTGATAAGAAAGAGACATAAAAAAGTGTGTGTGTACGTGAGAGAGAGAGAGAGAGAGAAATTGTTACTAAAATTTTAGAAATGAACCTTCTTGAAGTAACATTTTGAATGAAATGGCTGGTTTCCTCTTTTTGAACTTGAGGGGAGCTACTATTCCAGTTTCAAGAGGGCTGGTTATTTTTTTGCCTATTAAATATTTCCCGAAGAACCATCTGTTTACCAGTGAGGCTCCTCAAATATTCTGCTTTGCTCCGTGCGTGATGTATTTTTCATTTTTCTTTCTAAAAGGATCTGAAATACATTAAAATTTCTGAACTAAAATCCTGGAAACTATAGTTCTTGGTACATGACTTTGTATATAGTCATATTCCAGTAAGAGCGATCTATCGTCTAATGGAGATTTGTGGATTGACTCATACTTTTTAAGTTTTTTATTGAATTTGTTACAATATTGCTTCTTCTGTTTTATGTTTTGGTTTTTTGGCCTCAAGGCATGTGGGATCTTAGCTCCCCAGCCAGAGATCGAACCCGCACCCCCTGCATTGTAAGTCTTAACCACTGGACCAACAGGGAAGTCCCAACTCACACTTTTTGAAGTGCTAACTTCACATAGATTTGTTTACTGGCAAAAAAGGATACAGATGTAGGAATAATTAGCATTTTAGAAATAGAGTGATGAAGAATCTATACATCTATAAGGACTGGTGGGATTGGTATAGGACAAATAGTGGCTAATAAGAGAAATAGAGCTGGGATGACAGAAGAAAAAGCCCCCAAACTCAGCCAGAGCTAGACAGCCATGTCTCTGATCATTTAGATGAAAGGTCTTACCAATGCGTATGTGGATCTGCTAGTTAACTCCAGAACCATAGGTGGCAACAGGTGTTTAATGATTGTAAATATTTTACTCTTACATTCACTTGCAGTAAGTAAACTGTAAGTAATTCATTCTATAGCCTGGGATCAGCAAATCTCAAGTAATCTTTTACTTATCTTTATTAAATCCTAAATTAAAAGAACCACTTCTGTTGTTAAGGAGAGGAACCCAGGATCCAGTTAACTTGTTCATGTGTTTTTCAAACAGACAATAGTGGCTGTGTAACAAATTACCCTTAATTTAGGAGCTTGAAATAACCAATATTTATTATCTCCCAGTTTCTGATGGTCAAAAATCAGGAAATGGCTTGGGTGGGCAGTTCTGGCTCAGGGTCTCCCCTGAGGCTGCAGTCAAGCTGTTGGGTTGGGGGACTGCATTTGTCTTAAAGGTTGCCTAGGGCTGGAGGTTTCATTTCCAAGCTCAGGCATATAGTCTTTGGCAGATCTCAGTTACTTGCTGGTTGTGGGCTGGTCACCTCTCTTCCTATGAACCATTCCATAGTCTTCCTGAATGTTCTTATGACACAGAAGCTGGCTTTGCCTAGTGAGTGATCCAAGAGAGACCAAGCAAGTAAGAGAACACCTGAGATGGAAGACACAGTCTCTTACAACCTAACCTTGGAAGTGAAATACCATCACTTCCTCTTTGCGCTATTGGCCACAGAGACCAACCTTGGACCAGTGTGGAAGGGGACGGACTCTACAAGGGAGTGAATATCAGGAAGCAGGGATCATTCGGGGCCATTGGGGAGGCTGGCTACCACAGTGGCTATCAAATCTGTCAGGTATTTATATTCTATTGGGTAAATTTAAACCTAAGAATTTTAATTTTGAATGTTAGTGTTGGGACTTCCCTGGTGGTGCAGTGGTTAAGAATCCCCCTGCCGATGTAGGGGACACAGGTTCGAGCCCTGGTCCGGGAAGATCCCACATGCCACAGAGCAACTAAGCCCGTGTGCCACAACTACTGAGCCTGTGCTCTGGAGCCCGCAAGCCACAACTACTGAGCCTGCGTGCCACAACTACTGAAGCCTGCATGCCTAGAGCCTGTGCTCCACAACAAGAGAAGCCACCGCAATGAGAAGCCCGTGCACCGCAATTAAGAGTAGACCCCGCTCGCCACAACTAGAGACAGTCCGCACGCAGCAATGAAGACCCAACGCAGCCAAAAATAAATAAATAAATAAAACAAATAAATGTGTTTACATTATGCTGGAAATTTCATCCTTTGCAACTACTTACATTTATGATGAAAAATGTTAAATGTGTATAAGGAGTAAATATTTTTTAAAAATTCTTTGGGGATAAGAGTATAAAAGTTTGAAGACATCTGGCTCAGACTACTAGTTATATCCAATGTGTCCCTCTTATTATGTTCCTCTGGCTCTTTATCTCCCCCACGTGGTGCTCTTATATCTAAAAGGCATGGACAATTTATAAATGAAAGATAAACCTCAAACTGGAAATCATAATTTGGGTCCTGATTTGTGAATGGGAAAAATTACTTGAAACCTTGACTGTCTCTGAAAATCTAGGACTTCTGGATATGAATAAGCAAATGAATCAGGAACTTTACTTTTTTAAAATGGCATTTATTAAACAGATGGTGAAGGGCCGTCTACAAGCAAGGTACTGTAGAAGAGCTGTGGGTGAAACACAGAAAGAGTAAAATCTAGGATCTACTAAAGGTATAAGCTGGAGAGCATGGTGTCTGGGTGCTCAGAAAGTAAGATGATATTCTCACTGTACAAAAAAAAATTGTCTACAACTGTCACATGTTTTATGGGATACATCTTTTAAAAATTATGTACAATTTGCAGAGGTGAACCTCTGCTTACTTTTTGATTAGGTATGCCATCAATGTATATGTTTAATGAAGGCATTTTATACCTCAGATGAACACAACAGGTCCAGTTAAGCCCAAAATGCACAAAACCAGTAACTCTGGATAATAACTGTTGGGAAAAGATGCTGAGATTTTACTGAGGCATGCCACAGTGAACCTAAATTCATAGGACAAAACCATAGTTTGAGTATTTTATTAGGAGTAGCCGTAAAACTTGACCAGACAGGACTAATATTCTATTCCTAAGAATTTTCGATTTCATAATGGAGACAAGGCTGTCCCACTCACTCTTAAGTGGAAAATGTGTCCCGTCGTACTTGCATAAACTTTAGTTGAACCAAAATAGCAATTCACGTCCAACGTTATGAGAATGTTTTATTCAGTACCATAAACACTCACTAGAGCTAAAATTATGCAAAGGATTGCAAAACAAAACACAAAGTGTCTTGGCAAATTTCCAGTCTAAGCTAAAGTGACCAAGCATAGAATTAGGTTTCAAGAAGTTGGCTGGACCTCCCTAGAACCTGTACGGGCAGACGAGGAGTTAGGTTTAGGATTTAGTTTCTGGAAATGCTTGCAGACCCTCTACATACAGCGGGGCCAACGAGAAAATGGGCATCAAGGAAGCGCCTATTTATTTCCCGCCACAAAGCCTCTTCCGTTACAACGGACGGAGGCCTGAGATGCCCGGGTGGTACGACGCTGGGCCCCGAAAGCCAAGCTGCACCCCATTTGCGACTAGGAGGCTGGTCTCGCAGAAGCTGGCGCATGGACGCGGGGCCTCTGCTCCCGGGAGCCCGTCCTTCGTCCCAGGCACTCCGCTGCTGGGTCATCACCCCGAGCCCACCCGGCCCGGCGCTCCTCCTCGCCCATTCTGGACCCCACGGTGGTTTCCACAGCTAGGTAGTAAAAAGGGTAACAGGGATCCTATCCAGACGTGGGTCGGACCGAGGCGAGGGAGGTGGCCGGGTGCGCCTTTGAAGGCCTACTCGCGAGCTCCCGCCTCCCTCGCGGCGGTCACCCAGGGACAGAGGCGTGGCCCGAGGGGGTCGAGTCAGGACGTCGCGGGCCGCGTCAGAGGCGGCGCCGGCCGAGCCCAGGCGGGACGCAAGGGGGCGGGCGGAGGGGGCGGCAAAATGGCGGCGCGCCGGCGCGGGGCCGACGGTAGTGAGGGCCTCCCGGCATGCCGCGCGGCGCCCGGCTGTGGGCGGTGCGGGGGTCGGCGGCGGCCGGAAGCAGGCTGAGCCAGCCTCTCCGAGCGCTGCCTACGCTTCCGGGAACCTGGAGCCCGACTCTAGAGTTTTCCGGTAGGCGGCGCGGTAAGAGTAAGAGGCTGCAGGCGCCTGGCCGGGCGGATCCCCTCCTCTCCCAATGTGAGCAGCGTCCTGAGCCCCAGTCAGGCGAAGGCTGCCCAGAGAGGTGGAGCCGCTGGCCGGGCCGGGAACATGAGGCAGTGTGTCCTCTTCCTGAGCAGCTTGGTTCCTTTCGTGCTGGCGCCGCGACCGCCGGACGAGCCGGGCTTCGGCTCCCCCCAGCGACTCGGTAAAGACCCTGCGGATCTGGCTTCGGCCGGCACCGGGTGCCTGGAGCGCGCAGCTTTCGGGGAAGAGCAGGGGAGCAGGATCTATCAGGTGTTTGGGGGCGGGGTATTGGACGACGGTGGCGCGTCCCTAAGTTTGCAGCGTAGCAAGGGGGTGTGGCCCTCAGAGTTCAGGAAAGAATGGAGATGGGCTTGTCTCGGGGTGGGCAGGGATCCTGGAGGGAGCCTCCGGGAGTGACCGAGGGCCTGGGAGGGGTCTGCCCGCTGAGTTCGTGTTTGGGCGTGTGTTCCGGACAGAGGTGAGGCGGGCTGGTGGTGGCTTGTGTTCGGAGAGGGAGGTGTGGTCCAGGTCCCTGCCCTTCTCGGGATCAAATCTGTATTGTGTCCTTACCAAAGGCAGGGCTGTGGAGGAGGATAGGAAGGCCCAAGGCTGCACGGCTCTTCCTGGCTCTCCAAGGAAGCGAACTAGGTTTTCTTCTGTAGGAGGTACTTAGTAACCAGGAGGTAATCTGGTTGGAAGGCGGTGCCTGGGGAACTCGTCTTGGAGTTGCTTTTTGCGAACATCTTAAGCGTGTTAGTTATTTAAATTGTAGCTTATGGAAGAAGGTACTTATACTTGCCGGGCCAGCTCGTAATGCCGCTACTGTGAATGCCTTCCTTGCCATTTGAAACAAAAATTATCAGGGACGACCAATTTGGTCAGTTTTGAGGCCAGAAAGTAGAGGGTCATGTGGATTTTCTAAAGAGCTTGGATTTGAAGGATGGACTAACATTGAGAGATGTGAAATTTGGTGGGAGTTAGTTTGTGTAAACGTATAGTGACCCCTGTTAGGGCCCTTTATCTGTTAAAAGTTAGCGTGTAAGAGAGCTTGATTAATTAGTAACAAAGTATGAAACAGTATATTTTCCCAGTGTGAGAAGTTGTAGCCTCATTTTTCATGGCTGTTTTGGCCCCCAGATCTCACCATGAATCCATATAGTATAGTATCGTGCAGATTGAGACACTGTGTAGATTTTCTTTATGGCCAATAAAAATTTTGCATTAGTTTACCTGGCAGTTCTTTTTCCTTATTTAATGGACAAAAATTGTAATTGGCGGAGGGTATTAAAGGTGTTGTGTTCTCACCTGAACGACTGCTTTGTGGTTATCTCAAATTGCAATGGATTACAGGTGATTAGTTTAAAGAAAGGCCTGGGAGAACCTGGTAGGAAGTGCTGAGATGTGATAAGTTAATACAAATTGAAGGAAAATGGTGAGTTAGGGGTGGTGAGGATGGAGGAATAGGGTAAGGATCCACTTCGTAAGGATAAACGTTAATGAAAAGAATAAACGTGTATTTTGAAATATTAAAGTTATATTTTTACCACTCTAACACAACTGTTTCACTTTTGTTATCATTCTCTTGTTCACAAGTGGAAAAATAAGTAGAACGAATTCTAGGAATGCACATAGTATAGAAGAAAACCTTACTTTCTAGGTCAATTCTCAGCAGCATTCACAAGTCGTAAGGGTTTTTTTTTCCTTTGACCGTGTGTTTTCATTTGCAGAGTGCAGACCACTGGTGCCAGAAAAATGCATAGACTTACCACTTATTCACTGCATGTTTGAAGAACACATACTGTATGCAAGTTTTTTATGTGTGGCATTGGAAATATAAAGATCAGACTACATTCATCTTCAGAAAGCTTTTGGTGTAGTAGAATAGAGACATCTAAACAGACGATTCTAGAACAATAGGAAGGAGAGTGAGAGAAGACATTATGGTGGGTATCATTTTCATCAGGGGACACTGAACCTATCCAGGGAAGGTTAGGGAAGGCTCCCTGAAGGAGGTGATGATATTGAGCCCAGGCTGTAAGGTTAAGTAGTTGAAGAGAGAAAATAAGGACGGTCCTGATGGAGGCACTTAGAGATTGTTAGAATTGAAATGAACCTTGGAGATCCTGTCTAGTTTTTCAAATAAAGCGGTAGGTGAGATGAGTCTCTGAAAGGTGTAGTGACTTGTCAGGTTCATTCAATTAGTGATAAATATATGGCTTGAGGGTATTTTTTCTTTTGAAGAATGACTTTTTTGTGTGTTTGTTTGATAGCTTTGGATGTAGCTTGTTGCTTAACTCTACCCTACCATTTAGATTGAATTGGTCGAGGCCAATGAATAATTTCATAGTTAAAGAGCATGGTTTATTGTTTAATAGCCTTCTTATCCTATAAATGTTATCATAACCCCATAACTGCAGTTCTAAATATTGATTAGGGATTTGACAACATTTTCTGAAGAATAAAAATGTATAATAGAATCTGGCTTTTGGAGTACTCTACACGTCACCCAAAATGCTTTCAGTTGAACTGTCATGAATTGCATAATTTAGGAAATTTACAAGTCATTTGAGCTTAGTCATGATATCTTCTGTTGAAGTTATAGCTGGGGTATATAAGTGTCACTGATTTCAAAAGAGTTTTCTCTGTGTTACTTTTAATAAAAGAATATAGTGGGTGGAAGGAAAAAAAATGTAGGTCACAGATGAGGGATGAAAATTTGCATCTGAAACATATTTGAAATGTACCTTTGGTAATTGGCATGGGGATTCTCCACATTGCAGTGCTCATTTCTCATTATTGACGGCATCATTTTGCTCAATATTTTGACATCTGACTTCCTCTTTTGATGTTAATTTTGCTTACAGGCTGGATTCTTTTGAAACTAAAACACTTACCCACCCCACCTGCTTCAACAGAAATTTAACGCAGTTCTCCTTTGTACTAACTAGTCAGAGAGAGAAACTGTATTTCTAGAGTAGAACAAAGAGAAGAGTTAAGCAGAAAGCCATGGTGGGGAAACTGGAGAATTCCATTTGGCCTTCAGGGGGTTTTCCAGAACATTAAGTGTGAGTGTCCTTCAAGGCCAAGTGTGGTTGAATTTTAGATCCTTCACCATTTTGTATTTGTGAGAGATGGTGAGTGTTTTCAGTTGGAAGTATACTTTGAGGGAAGTCAGAAAAAGATGGGTAGGGAGGGAGGGACAGGAAGAGGCTTCACAGAGGTTGGGAGGTGAAATGAAGTGCTTTTTCACATATCCCTTAACTTAGTCCTAAAATGAACCAAGGAGATGGGTATCTCCCTCCGCACATACCTCCTTTTCTTTTTTTCTCTCTTTTAATAAGAGTTGTAGGCTTTGACAAGTCTCATCTGTTGCCCTGGTTTCACTTACCATTTGACTGTTTGGGTAACTACCAAATATGTGTCTCTGACCTAGACTTGTTCTCTGAAGCTCCACTCTCATGTATCCACCTCAGTGTTCACAGGTACCTCAAACATATGTCCAAAATTACTTACCTCTTTGATTAGAAGAATGTGTATAGGAGACAAGGTTTAATCTAGGAAAAGGCAGCAGCACTGGAAATTGTGGAAGTAATCTCATTGCTTAACCCGAATTTGCATCCATTGCAGCTGCAGAGCCTTATGGATCAATCCAGGGTTCTTTGGAGGTTCCCTTGGGCTGTGCTCACTTTCATTTTTGGCTCAGAGTTTCCATGTGACTGGTCTTGCTGGAGAGTCTTGGCCCAGGTTTAGTCCCAGCCCAGGTGAAGGGCTCTTGATAAGGAAGTATTTGAGGCAGCTCACCCTCCAGCTTCCCTAACTGGTATAAACCCATAAAATTAGGTTTTTAGTTCCCAGGTTCTGGGGTCCACTGCCTAGCAAACAGCACTGTTCTTTTCTTATCCCTTAGTCCCAAGGAGGGATTCACCCATGCTTAGGGCTTGTTGCAGAGTGACCCGACCAGGCCTCTCCCTTGTCCTGCGTATTTTGGGGAGTATTGAAGAGCAGTCAAGTCTCATGTGTCTTCTGCACAAGCAGAATAAACACTTGACGGCAGCCCTGGCTTTATGTTTCCCACTTCTGACACCAGAAGTGGGTGCATGACACTGTGTCATTTTGGGGGAACTCTTCATACTCTGTGCAGCAGAGCCGTGGAGAGTGGGCAGAGTGCTACAGGGATTCTGCATGACAATTGCAAGTTGAATTCCAGGAAGATGCAATTTATTGCAAAAAAAAAAAAGAGAAATTAAGTAAAAAGTTCACAAGTGTTCCCAGACTCTTCTAACACCTCATTATTTAAAAATCAGTTTTATCTTAAGAACTTGCCTTGGCTTGATGAATGAAGTAAGGGAATATTTTGTGTCGTTGTACCAAAAGTCAGTGGCCATACAAGCATATCATGGAGACAGAACAATTCAGGTATGAGAGAAGGGTAGAGTAAGAAGGTTTATCAGATCTATAGGCCACTCCATATCTGTATCCAGAAAGCCGGTTTGTTGCAGGCCTGAAGGTCCAGCTTCCTCTTTTATTCTTTTTTTTTTAAAAGGGAACTTTATTTTACTTATTTATTTATTTTTGGCTGTGTTGGGTCTTCGTTGCTGCATAGGCTTTCTCTCGCTGTGGCGAGCGGGGGCTACTCTTCGTTGTGGTGTGTGGGCTTCTCATTGCGGTGGCTTCCCTTGTTGCAGAGCACGGGCTCTAGGCGTGCGGGTTTCAGTAGTTGTGGCTCGCAGGCTCAGTAGTTGTGGTGCACAGGCTTAGTTGTTCCATGGCATGTGGGATCTTCCCGGACCAGGGCGCGAACCCGTGTCCCTTGCATTGGCGGGCAGATTCTTAACCACTGCGCCACCAGGGAAGCCCTCTGTTTATTCTTTGAGAACATAAAAAAAGGAACAAAGTATCAGCTGCTTTTTAACCACTGATCTTGATTTTGAAAATCATAGAATAACAGATTTACTCTTTCCCTGCTTAAAATCATTACGTGATTTATCAGTGACATAACTGCAAACATATGATGACTTAATGCAAAAAAGTTCTATGTAAATGAATAATTGCAAACTGTATATAAAGGAACAAGATACGGTGTAGAACTTCAGAATCTTTCAGCATCCACTTGTCCCCTTATATCAACCTACTAAAAAAAAAACCAAAATTCAACCGGGTAAATCTGAAGATCTAATTGGC